AATAGGTGGGTTTTTTTTTTTTTTTTTGTTTTTAAAAAAAAAAAAAAAAAAAAAAAAAAAGAAAAGAAACTTTTTCCACCCGCCCTTATATTCAAATTTTTTCTATCATATAAAAACAATCTTATTTTTTTTTTGTATCTTGCCCTGGAAGCATTACAATGCTAGGTAAAGAAGAATATACTGTAATTTTTTTTTCTATCTTGGTATGTAAGGCCTGTTGTTACCATTTATAATTTTTGTTTAAGTTATAAGCCATAAAATACTCGTACCTGGGACTGAAACATAAGGTGAGCTGCTTCGCAGCCAGTCATGCAGTGCAAGCTGGGGTAACTATAGCATTGCCGGCCAAGAATGGTCAGCATGTGTTTCGAACCCTCGACATCGAGGTTTGGAACCTGAATGGAACAAATCGCCTTCCACTAAAATTTTAATAATAATAAAAATAAAACTCTAACATTAGGTCAGGAATAAAAAAAAATTATTGCTGACCAACAAACCCTAATTTCCAAAATGTTGCTAAAGCAACACAATTTTTTTGCCTAATAAAGTAGACAGAAATGACTACTTGGGAAAGAAAGGAACAATTATAAATCTATTAATATTTGTTACATTGCAATATCAGTGAAACTAATAGGCTCATATCAAAACAAGGAATTTAATTTGAAACTGAATGTGATAATCTATGTCACTTTGTTAGATTGAGGAAACAACTAAAGAAAAATGAACAAATAAACAGTATACTTTTGGACAGTACATTCAACCTGAAAAGCCATTTAGTATTTATATTAAAAAATTGCGCTTCCATTAAAAAAAATTAATTGTCTAAATAATATGGGAGAGTTTATCAATTAACAAAGCATAGGGCTTTCTTCAGCCTGGTATTTTCACCTGGATCCCAACAGTGGCCCCATGTCAGTGTTATACTGTAGTGTAGACCCACATTTAATTGCTTGGACATTTATTAGGCACACAAATTTGAGAACAACAATTTGAATAAAATTCTGTTGTATGCCTTTGGAGTATTATTATTTTGACTTACCATGTCATTGCTATATCTCATTCAAATAAAAACCCAAAACTAGAAATGCTCCTTTTATGCTACACAGTAAAAGCATAGCCTCCACAGGGAGGGATTTTTTCTCTGAAAATTGATAAGTACAGCAGGAGTATGAAAACCGATCAGACTTACAAAATTTCTGATTAGTGAAATATTTATTATGCAAATGAGCAATAAGCATATTCACACATTCACACCAAAAACAAAATGCTTCATCTTCTTACTACCATCTTACATTCTGCCTAGTTTGAAACCAATCGGCCCTACCAAACTTTAGTTATCGTGGTAACAACAATTTGCCCAACAATGAAAACGACAACAACGACGACGATGATGACGACAACATGAAGAACATGG